ATAGTAGCATCATATTAATGCTAGAAAGCCTATGCATTTGGCAACTGTATTTTTAATAAAATTATATTTAATGAATAAAATCTATTTTCACACTCATCTTAATTGAGGGGGCGACGGCCTAAAATCGATGTGGCCCAAATTTGGGCCAGTTCTGCTTTATTTGGTTTATTCATGGCTGACATTAGGCCTTCCTTTGACTTGCTTGTGGCCCATATCTGGCAAACAGGAGTGGTCCACCCAAATGCTATTATTCTTCACAGTATGTGGGCCGGAGCTGGGCCAGAATTAAAATCAATGTGGCCCAAATTCGGGCCAGTTCTTCTTTATTTGGTTTATTCATGGCTGACATTGGGCCTTCCTTTGGCTTGCTTGTGGCCCAAATTTGGCAAACAGGAGTAGACCGCCCAAGTGCCATCATTCTTCACAGTATGTGGGCCGGAATCAGAGCCAGCGCAGCACTGATGAGGGGGCGGCTGAGATAGCGAAAGGGGGCGATGACGTAGCACAAAGTAAAAAAAAAAAAAACATATGTGGCCCATTCACGTATTTGACGGACCGTAAACAAACCTGCTCACTACTATTAGAATACTGTTCCCTCAGATAGTGTTTTGGTCGGGAGACAGGTCAGTCAGTTTTTTTATTTATTTTTTTAAACCCCAAGGTCTAGAGACGTGTTTTTAGAAGCTGAATTTCTTTAAACTTGAGTGCCGTGTTTTAGAATAATGTATTATGTGCGACAAGCTGCTATAAAGACCTGAGACGAGCGCAGCATTCAAACACAAATTCAAAGACGTCCGTAGTGCATTTAAGTTAGTTTGAAATACAATGGAAAAGTACCGCAGTGGAATGAAAAATGCGATGTGAGTGAATGACCCTTCTAAAAGGTACTTAGCAAATACAGATGGCAGAGTAGCTATTGAATAAAACAAAATCACATAGGCAACAAATCTGAAAATCTGACATCCAGGAAATAATACCTTTAGCTTACTCAGTAGTGCTGCATTCTTAGTTGAACTGCTTGAGCGGGAAGTTTGTGTGTCAGATGTAACAATTAAAATGCGACTTTGTGAAACGGACTGTCCTAAATTGTTGCTATAGTAGCATCATATTAATGCTAGAAAGCCTATGCATTTGGCAACTGTATTTTTAATAAAATTATATTTAATGAATAAAATCTATTTTCACACTCATCTTAATTGAGGGGGCGACGGCCCTGGCCGGCCACCTGTAAGGTGTTGGATCTGGGCCAGAATTAAAATCGATGTGGCCCAAATTTGGGCCAGTTCTGCTTTATTTGGTTTATTCATGGCTGACAATGGGCCTTCCTTTGGCTTGCTTGTGGCCCAAATCTGGCAAGCAGGAGCGGACTGCCTAAGTGCCATCATTCCACGTGGTATGTGGGCCAGATGAAAGTGTCAGGTGTGGGCCTGATCTGGGCCTCAGGAATTTTGCTATCTGGGATGAGATGTGAATCACTTTAATTGAAATCATACTTCAGGAAATATTTTATTTTGCATATCCATGAAATAAAAAAAATATATAATAGGTATTTTATTGTTAAAAAAGGTCCAAATTCCAAAACATAAGCATTATTGTCTTAGAAGTCAATTACTCTAATTTTAATAGCAAACCAGTATATTTATTGAAAAAGTAAATGTTTAAAATTTAAAATTTTAGAAATTATATTCGTAGGTGATTAAGGTATAATTACTTATTTGAAATTAATCTGAGTTTATGATTACTTAAAATTTGAGACTTCTCACATTTAAAATGGTACAGCAATCAGAATCATTAATAATGTGAATGCCATTTTCACAATAACCACTATGTTTTTTTCCCTCGCTGGCAGTGTGTCAAGTCCATTCTTCTAAATAGAAATAAAGCACTTTGCACAGTGTAACTGTGAAGGATTTTTAATTATGTTCTTTAAATGTACAATTATGTAAGCCCAGATTGTGTGATACTGCTAAACCCAAATTTCTAATATGAAAAAATAAACCTTTTTTATCCTTGCTCTGTGCCTGTAAATATTGCTTTTATTTCTTTCTGTTTCAAATCCTCTTTGCTTCTCTTGATGTCTTT